TAAATAAATAAAAGTAATTAAACTAATTATAAATATACTTGGACAGAGAATTCAATCCAATGCTAATATTGATTAGTTTACTTTGATAATTTATATAACCAAAACTTTCATGTTCAGAACCATGGGACCTTTTACCTACTGAATTCTTTACATATATCCACAATTAGAGTGTGAAAATAATAGAGAAATTTACACATCGAAGTCTCTATATTGTCAAGAATGATGTAAATGATAAGTGCAAAGTATAATAGTTATATATATGTGAAAAATAATTGATAGATTAAAAAGAAATTTTACTTGGTTTGATTCTAAAAAAAACAAAGCTACATAATTTTTAGGCATATCTCTGTTAAAATAATTCCTTGCTTGTCAGTTTTTAGAACTTAAAAAACATTATAATAGTAGGGTTAATTTGCAACTAATTTCATTTTTCTTAAAGAATAAGGATATATGTACTCTAAAATTTAATGAAAAAATAGTTTTTACAACTTAGTTAGGCCGTAGATTAAACATTTCCTGGGGCTCTTATCCTTTAGTCCTAACTTAATCAGAATGATAGCATCACATTTTTTTATTATGCCGAATAAGTTTCTTAAAATATACGAAACTTTGATGAAAAGCCACTTAGTATAGTTGTCATAAGTGTCCATAAAAGGGGTTTTAAGTTTTAATACCATTCTAATGAATACTAAAATAAATTAAGCTTTACGCAGATTTTTCTTGCATAATATATTTCTAAAATGGGATCAGATTCAACTCTTCTAATACCTTATGTCCTGCAATTAATTATAGACCTTCTGTGGACCATCAGTCTCCTACATAAATTCTCAGAGTTAACTAAAAGAGGATAGATTGTATAATAAATCTACGATACAAGCTCAATTTAAATAGATTAAAACTTGTCCCTTAAAAACAAAGTGGGCTTGTACATTACTTTATGTAAAGCTGGGTAAATTGCAGTGTATTCATCACCAGAAGTAGACAATAACTCTGAAAGCACCTTGCTATATTTGAACTAGTATCGCCTAAACTTTGCACCATTTTGTCAATAAATAGGCTATATAAAATATAAGATTAAATTTCGCGTTTGAATAATATCAAGTATATAGTGTTTTTCTTTACACAACTCATGTTAATGGCAATTCCTCTTCAAATTGGTAAGCGAATAAGAAGAAAAATAAAAGCTTTGCCATTTTAGTTAAATAAATAATGCGAATTTCAATTATTAGCGTAGACTTTAGATCAAATTTTAAATAATTTGGTTAAATATTTTAAAAATGATTATTTTAATCATTATTTAGGATAAATTGTTTTTATAATACAAGAAGTCTCTAAAATTATATAATGATTAGAAGTCAAATGTACTATATTCGATACAATATAACTAATAAAAGTGATATGTTACATTATTTCAAATATTTAGCAAAATGATATAAATTCTATTTAATTTAGCATTATTCGCTCAATTTATTATACCTTATTAGTAAAATTTGACTCAGCTTCCAAATTTTCAATGCTCTGAGCCGATGAGCCATTTGAAGAAAATCCTTCTTTTATAATCGGATCTAGTTGTTTGTCCTCAATCTCTGCTTGTGGTGCAATCTCTCTGGTATTTTCTATTTCAATAGAAACTTTTGAAGTCAATTTTCCATGAGCCTTCATATGCTTTGGCTGAGGGCATACAAATAGGTTTTTTTCCAAATTGTGCTTCTTAAAATGTATTGATCCGGACAATCTTTTTAATTCATTGGCTTCAGTTACATTATTAAGTTGATTGATAATACAAGCACCAGAATTACTAAGAACTTCAGTAGTAGAACTTGAAGCCTCATCTAGAGTTGCATTAGATCCCGCATATTTTGAACAATCATTATGAGTTTCAGTAGCATTGGGGCTTCCAGTGTGAACCTTAGCACAATTGGGTACATTTTTATGACCATCAGTGTCAGAATAAGAAACGAGATTGGAAATACTACAGTCAGCAGCTTCTATCTTGTCACTGCAATTATTAACAAATTTTTCCGAGCTATCCCTAGAAGCATCAAATGCATTAGAGTTTTTAATTTCTTGAGGACTCTGTATAGTAGGATTAAAAGCTATGTTGTCATCCGCATCGCCAGTATCACTTCCAGGAGGATAATTATTCGGAATATCTATGTTATTGTTAATTTGCTGATAAATATCCAAACCTTGATTATTTTCGTTGAGAATCTGCTTCCCTAAGAATTGTGGAGCATGTGCTTTATCAACCATCACTTCACTATGTTTTGAGGCGGCTGTCTGTCTAGTTGTCTCCTTGGCAGCCGTCAAATGGGCAAATGATTTACTGGAATGCTTTATCTGAAGGAGACTTTAGTATATACAAAAAAAGAAAAACTTGATATAGTCAAAACGTTAACATCCTCATATCTGATTTTGTAGTGGAATAAAATATGAAAAATATATGGACTGAGAAAACGAAGTTCAGAAACCAATACATTATAATAGTTGAGATGAAATAAATATCTATAAATCCTAATGATATAGCGTAGATTAATTTATAATATATTGTAATAGCTAAGGAAATATATATATTCTTAAAACTATTTAGATAAAACTAATTTTTTTCTAAAAGCGTGATAAAAACTATTTCCAAGGCAAATCATTTGCCATTTTGCCGTGCAATTAAGTTTACATATAAATATTTTATAAAACATAAATTAAGAATATAAAAATGCAAATTGTTGTATTATCTAGTACTTTTCTAAAGCTCTAAACAGAATCTCTAAAAGATTTATTGTAACTTCTGAACAACTTAAAGTTTATTTTGAATGTGAAAGCATTTGAAATTGAAATATTAAGTTATTAAAATCTTAAGTCTTCACTTTCAAAATTGTATACTGATTGTTCGTAATTTCAAAAAAGATTTAATTTTTTTACATTAATGTAATGAATTATAATAATGAGAATATATAAATGAACTAGGATTGGTCAAAACTTTAGGGTGCTTATGAACTGTGTAAATATTATTTGTCAGATACATTATAATGCATACCTCTCGGTCAATACCTACAATAACTGATATTAATTGTATACCTCGCCGTATTTGCATGAACAATTTCTAGATATATCGAAGTCTCTTCTACTTAACTTTCCAGCAATATTAATATTCATCATAATTCTTTGATAATTTATATGAATCCTCCCAACTAAAGGTTTTTTTTGTTAACACCCAATGTTAGGAGCATGTGCTCTGTTTATTATTCAACGATTTTATTGTAACAATGGTTTCTTATATCATAACTAGACAAAACTTTCTATCTCTATGATATAATTCAAATAAAGTTCAATATACCGACGCTTTTAGTGAGATTATATACTAGAATTTTTATTGTACAGATTAGAGTATGTATATATATTAATACTTCCGAATATTATAAAATACACTTAGCCTTCTTTATTATTTGTGTAACAAATCGTAACTTAATAAATCTGGAAGCTGCGCCTTTACGAGCATTTATTAATGAAAATGAGGTTATAATATATGAAGATAATTCATATGAAATAAAATATTCACAATATGTGATTAGGGTTTAGAGACTACAAGTAAATAAGAAATATTAGATGTATTCAGCCTATATCGTTTAAGGTGATGAATGAATAGTAGTAGAATTTTCTTAGAATGATATAAGTATAACTAACGCTTCCATTGAATTTAAAATATCCTTACCATCCCAAAAGTTGTTCTTATCCAGGGTGCACTGCAGTTTTGACCTCACATTGGTCTTATCAATACCCCCAGTGTTAGTCGAACTGTGACAGTGCAGAATATAAGCTTGACACGCTAACCACTCGGCCACAATACCAGGAATGCCTTTGGGCCACAGAACAGATATGAATTTTAAGGAAGGTCAGGCCTGTTGCCATATCACATTCTTTGATGTGATTGTCAATGAAGCAAACGTAAATTTGTTATAATAATCTACTATAGTCCTTCTATTTCATATATGAGTAGAGAATCAAGACTACCAGTAAATCGAGTAGAGATATATTCATCCTAAATCGTTTAAGGCGATTAAGGACTAGTAGTAGAATTTTTCTACAGTGGTATGGGGAGAGCTGACTTTTCTATTGAATTTAACATATCCTTGCTTTCCCAAAAGTTGTTCTCATGCAGGGTGAACTGCAGTTTCGACCTCACATATGTCTTATAAATACCCTCAGCAAGATTCAAATCGTAAAAGTGCAGAATGTGAGCTTGAGACGTTAATCACTAGGCCACATTGAGGCTAGTAAGGTTTATAGACTTGAAGGACCATAAACGTAAGTATAACACACCATTATGGGTGCTAGGTGGAAACCGATGGGGGGGTGCACAAAATTAGTTGGCCCCATTTACATGGTCTAAGTGAATGTTTATATTTTTTATATAGAATGTAGGCCTAGAATAAGAGGTTACTGCTTACGTCTGAAAAAATAAGTTGCAAACAAACACAAATATCTAAAAACTATTTGTATCTTAGGATTAAATTGGTTTGTCAACATGAGAGATCAAACTAGTAAGATTCAGAAGGGAGAAAAGTCCATCTCCATATTAGGGTTTCAAAATGAACCCCATACTTCTTGGGATATGCCCAATCAACGGTCTGATACTGAAGCTTGTTATGTCCATTATAACGTGAGACGTTAGGCTTGGAAAGTTTTAGAATTTCTTCCTTTTGTAGACAAAGTTGCGAAGACGAAGTTGTACACCATCATGCAGATAGAGGAGATTGCGACCAAATTTAATGCCCCACCCTCTTTGT